AATAGATTGCCTTTTAGCTTCTATTATAATGCAAATAGCTCAAAACCAGAAATGATATAAACACCATTTTAAAGATATTTATTTATCTTGTGAAATGATTCAGTTGTGCATTATTGTTTTTATAACCTTTTCTGCTCTACCAGTTGTCACACAGCTTGAAACCTACAGAGTTTAAATATTGATGATGAATAGTGAATATTTGGTACTTTGAAATGAATCATGAGATGATTTTTCAAAATGTTTTAGTTGCATGACTGAAAGGCATGTAGTCATTGCAATTGTTGGCTTGACTTGTTACAACTGATATTCTTCTTGACTGCAAAACTGTTGGCTAGCCTATTCCCATTTGAAACTGAATGGCTGAAGAAGTTGAATTTTTGTGAATTCTGATTCAATCCTGCACTTCTTAGACTAATGTGTAAATCAGAGTGCAATATCAAATTGCCAAGGGCCTACTGAGCTGGGTCAACTAGATCAGCGGGAACTGTAATGACTCCTAGAAGTGTTGGAAAGCATCACTCTGCCATCAGAGCTCTGTGATTAACAAGCAGAAGAGGATTCTGTATAATCCTAATCCTAAACATCTAAGGCATTTGAGTTTTAGGATTATACTATTACCCATTGGCTGGATATTCTGAAAGCATCCAGGATATTTTTACAATTGTTCTAATGAAGTTCTTCACTTGAAAAATTGTTGATATTACTTTTGAAAAACCAGTATGTAGTTTGAGAGAAGACTCCATTGAAAAATGAATATTTAAATGCAAAGTTTCCATATAGATTTTTTTGAAAATAATGGAGAGAAATGGATCAGTCTAGAAACCTAAATTGTAATTTTCCTTCTTCTCCTCTCTTAAATACACAAGTTTAACATGTTTTATTTAATTTAAGGTCACAATGGCCTAATCCTTATCCCTGGTAATAACAGGTCCTTTGCTCACATTTATGTTCTGAAACACGCTGCTACCTTCACCATCGTAGCTTTTCTGTCCACTGTATAGATAATGTTGGAAAACTTGCTATTACCTCATCACATGGATGCATTCTGGTTCCTTGGTAAAACTGTAGGCGTAGCCACTAGAAGTTGTGCCAAAATCAACAGCCACAACAACAAGAAATGACTGCTCCTCTGTGTCATTTGCTTCAGAGTCCTTCTGTGAAAAGAACAGAAGTAAAGCATATGCATAAGAATTACATAAACATGATGATTAATCTTTAATGTCAAACTATAGCACTACTAATCTCTACACTCAGCCCTCCACATGCAACTTTTGTGGATTTAAAATTTCTTTCTAGGAAACTCTAGGTCCTCCAGTGCAATTCCACAGTCAACTTCTGGTTGGTGTTGATCACTTACTAGTGCGAGAGAACAAGAGGTTCCTACAGAGGTGCTCTATCAACTATAAAAAATAGTGGGGGTTTTATTTATCATTTTTCTACTTGTGCGGTGCTGTACGACATAACCCCAGAAAACGTGGAGGGCTGACTGTACATTGCCAAGATGAGACTTCATTTTTATGACATGATTTTCCTTTAAATGAATGAGAACCCCGTGCACCATCTCTGTTGCTTTTGTGAGCTGAACAAAGCAGACACTTTTCATTTAGAAGAGGAACGAGGGAATAGTGTAGGTTAGTATACCCTTAGTTATGGTGCTTATATTGTAACTGCTCCATATTCTCATTTGAAATTGTGACACTTTTGCCTAGGATACTAAAACAGCTCCAGGGACTGTTGTGGGGGGTATGGAGCTGATGGAAAAAGGTGCAGGCTATGGAGTTGTCCATGTTTGCCACAAACCAAACAAGCTGTCAAAATAGCACTTCCTGTGAGAGACAAAGTCTGACACTGGATTTTTGTGGGCTCAGGCATTTTTTATCATGCTGTGCAGCAATGACATTACCACACTGATCTGGTATTGCATTTCAGGCCTTGACAGAATGAAGGTCACTACTGCTGACACAAATGTTTTGATTCTCAGTTCCAGGAAAGTATCAAAGGAGATCTTTTCTAGACTTTTCTCCTCTGCAGTAAACTCTTCTCTTATTTGAGACTACTGAAGTTTTCCGTCATCTTAGAAATGTAGTAAATGATGCAACTGCACTGCCTCCCTCAAGGCTTCATCCTGTTTACACCTAGACGCCTTCTCACTCCATACTGAGGGTGTAGGGAACTGTATATAACATACCCTTTAACAGGGGTGTTAAAAGACTTCATTGACATCAGTTGAGTTTATAAATAAATGTTGGACCTGCTTGATAGTCCACTAAGAAGTTTAGCTTAGATTGGTTGGCAACAGAAATAGGTCTTTTTTTCTAATTGATGGAGTTCCCATTGATGGTCCCATCTCTGCCTGAAAGGATTTGAAGATCTTTTCTTGAGGATGATTTCACTAAAGATACAAAGGACTTTTGGATTACTGTTCTTATATTTTTGGTTTGAATTATCATCTGTCACCCTCCATGCTGCCCTAAACAGTGTTTTAAAGGTTCATTGCTTTGTTCTTGTTTATTGGGTTTAATAATCCCCACCACCACCACCACCACCACCACCATCATCATCATCATCACTATCATCATCTGCCTCTCTTTGTGGCTCAAGGTGGATTCCAACATAGTTAAAACACATAGCATTGGAAACATTTTATAAATTCACATATTAAATATGTTTAATTTGTACCTATAAAAGGTACATATTAAAACATATTTCTATAAAATACATATTAAAATGCACAAAAAGAGATTAAAACACAAAACACAAGTTTACAATTCATGTTTTAAAACTGGCTGGGTAAGAATTCTTTAGCTCAGCGGTTCTCGACCTTCCTAATGCCGAGACCCCTTAATACAGTTCCTCATGTTGTGGTGACCCTCAACCATAGCATTATTTTTGTTGATACTTCATAACTGCAATTTTGCTACTGTTGTGAATCGTAATGTAAATATCTGATATGCAGGATGTATTTTCATTCAATGTACCAAATTTGGCACAAATACCCTATATGCTCAAATTTGAATTCTGGCGGTGTTGGGGGATGGGTTTGATTTTGTCACTTGGGAGTTGTAGTTGCTGGGATTTCTAATTAATCTACAATGAAAGAGCATTCTGAACTCCACCAATGATGGAATTGAACCAAACTTGGCACACAGAACTCCCAAGACCAACAGAAAATACTGGAAGAGTTCGGTGGACACTGACCTTGAGTTTTGGAATTGTAGCTCACCTACATCCAGAAAGCACCATGGACTCAAACAATGATGGATCTAGACCAAACTTGTCACAAATACTCAATATGCCCAAATGTAAACATCAGTGGAGTTTGGGGAAAATAGACCTTAACATTTGGGAGTTATAGTTGCTGGGATTTATAGTTCATTTATAATCAGAGCATTCTGAACCCCAGCAACAACAGAATTGGACCAAAATTCCCACACATAATCCCCCATGACCAACAGAAAATACTGTGTTTTCTGATGGCCTTTGTCAAACCCTCTGACACCCCCTCATGACCTCCCCCCCCAGGGGTTCCAACCTCCAGGTTGAGAAATGCTGCTTTAGCTTTTATCCCCTGCCCAACAGTTGTGCTTTTTCAGAGATTACACAATATATTTACTGAAAAAGTGGTGGTATGAAATTGTTGGATAAACAACCATCCAACCATATTGCACAACTGCGTGTGTAACTACTATCTTAACTACTTGTGCAATGGTATGATTTAGTGCAAGAGTTCACAAGGGCTTTCACTCATATTTTCACTTAGTGTTAAACTTCACTACCTACATTCATTTGTTTTACAGGATGACAAGGCTCTGTGGCTTTTATGCTGGAAGACTAGTATATCTATCCACCTTGGAATCAATAGTTTTATATTATTAAAATTGTGATTTTTATGCTACCATAAAATCTATGCTGCCTGTTGAGAGGATACTGCCCTGAGGAAACTTTAAAAACCAAAGAAACAGACATAACAATCATCCATTCATAGTCTATAGAATGAAATTATCCCCACAGAGTGGGAAAAAACAATAGAATGATATTCAGGATGCATTTCTTACCGCAATGTGGGATGGAGACAGTGGTGTTATTCCTGGGTCTCCTAGGCTTCTTGCTGGAGATGCATAGGCAGTTGATGAAACTGCTTCTGAAAAAAAATGAAAGTCTTTTAGTTCTCTTTGTGTTTTCCCAGGTGCCAGGAGAAGGGAACCACTGAATATGACACAATCATTCATGATACCAAGTTTTCCCAATATGAGAAAGAAGACTTTACATTAATTGCCTCACATTAATAATATAATATTTTAAAATTGAAAACCTAATTCCATTCCTCTCATAATGCAACTGAAACAAATCCATTTGGGCTGTTATCAAATGGCAGATAGCCTACACCAAAGCTTGAAAAAGTGCCAGGCAAATGCTACTAGAGATGAAGCTCTTCCTTTAGATGTCCTATGTGCATCTTGAAAGAGCAGAGGGTCAGAACCTCTTGGAGGATTTACTTATGTGTAAGGAGCTATGCAGTCAATCCCATTCCAATCCCCTTATACTAGAAGCAGCTACTGCATTCAGTGATGGTCC